AGAAGTTAAAGTAATTTTTGGAGATATTCGTTTCATTGTCGAATTATACCTATATAAAACTGATAAGATGTAGTTAAAAGCAATTGACATTCAGGTGTTCCTAATCTACAATCCTTTATGTTTCTGTACGTGTATCTTTTATTACATGTAAATGTTTTTACCCGTATAGTTTTACACTTTCATTTATATTTAACAACCGCTTGCGGTTAGGCAACAAACGAACGTGTTGGGATTTCTATTACAAAGCAAATTGTAATGATAAATGATAAATAATTTTTCTAAAACCTCATCCATACCTTCACAACGAATATACACATCTATTTTACCACTAACGAACTGAACACGTTAAATCATAGGTACGTTACTTTATTAATTAATTTACCAGCTATAAATAAAAACACATAGATAATCAATCATGCGGTTTATCCAAACACTTAATTGGGATATTTTGCCAGGGTTTGGTTAGAACTGCAAGAATCAGAAATATATGGATCTTGTCAGGGCCTTGTTTTGAAGACAAAGACATTTTCAAAAGTAAGATGGAAAATCTGTATGCGTTTTCGCTATCTACTGTTCTGTGTTACTTTTTCTCAAAAAAAATAATATCTCGAAAACGGTAAATTTCTCTAAAATCATAAGTAGAATTCAAAGCCGTCATAATGTACAGGGTGTTCCATTTAAAATAACAAATTTGATGTCAACTTCCGATATAATCGGAAACGCTACATAGATGCCATTATTTTAATTGAAGAGAACGTACCCATCCGACGGGACTTGAACCTTAACGAAGCTCTGGTACAAATTAGAGTGTGAGGATCGCCTCGCGAGTTTCAATGATTTAGGGAGCCGGACCATAGGTTCAACCATAATGGTGGAGTTCTCAAAGAGAAACCAGACTGAGACAAGTCCCTGAAGGAGGGCAGCAGCTCTTTCAGTATTCAAGGTGGCAGAGATCACGAGGATCGGTATGGCACTCTGATAGACACTACTGCGATATGGAAGGCAACGAGAAATCACCACATTATGATATCCCAAGAAAAATACATGTGGCGTTACCGGCGAATGATGAGGATGCAGTGGATAGAGAAAGTTTGAAATGAAGAGGTACTGGAAAGAATAGGAGAACAGAGGACACTATGGACTCTAATAAAAAATAAGCAAAATAGGTTGGTAGGACACCTTCTCAGGGATGAAAGTCTTAGTCAGAGACGTATTAGCGGCAGAAGCAGGAGTTAAGAGGAGTAGAGGTAGACCTAGGTTAGATTACTGTTCACAAATAGTTAAGGATATGGGCTGTTTAATTTTTTGGGAAATGCGCAGATTAGCTCAGGATAGGAAAGAGTGGAGGTGAGTGCCGACCAGTCTTAGGACTGACGACCTTATGATGATGATAATGATGAACTTAACCAATAAGGTCATTGTACAAATTTTCTAATTTTAAATCAAAGTAGTTTCCGAAATATTCTAATAGGTGGTTATCGTGAGACACCTTATATATCTTGACTTGTTCCTTGTATAGAACTCATTAGAACGGAATTTTTCCTTATGTTATTGTGTCCTTTATTTTCATAAGATATTGTAGCCTAATGAGAACTGGTATCATCAGCAGTGTAAAACCAACTTAACCTAAAAAAGTTGATTGATTTTACATATCTTAAAATATTCGTTAAGCTAAAAATCCACTTATTTTGATTTTTTTTTAATTTCCATTGAATATTTAATTAAAGAAGAAGAGAAATAACTATAAAATGAAGAACGTATATAAAGTAAAAACAATTCCATAACATCTTGGTTATTAATGATTTATTCTTCGGAAAACACGAAAACTAAGGTAACATTGTGGACTGTTGGCACCCTATAAATACAAAAGTCTACATTAATAGGTACGTGCCTGCATATATATTTCTTATTCCTTTAATTCGAAGTACCTTGTATAGTTAACAATCGTGATTACGAAATGTGGAAAGGCACGCAATTTTTTAAGGGTAGAACTGTTCGCTAATTGTGCTGTTGTGGTTTCAACATGTGGCCACACTATTCATCGACAGAAAATAAAACGCCGGGGGAACCTACTACCTGACTTCATGACTTTGTATTCTACATCTGTTTGTTTGTCAGGCAGATTTCAATGACAAAATAGAAAAGGAAAAGAAAAATTACTAAATTTAATACATATTTTGTACCCATATAAGGCCCCTTACGAAAACTATTTGAACAATGACTTTCAATAATAGAAGGAAATCTTTTACCTTGAAGAACGGGTTGTCTTATCATATTATGGACGCCATCTTAAGAAACCTATAGAAGACAAACCGTAAATTTGTGATCTCTGGAGTAAGGAAATGGAATCTGCACCTCATGTCAACCATTTTGTAACACACACACATACAAGTGAAAGAAATTGTGTTTTTGTCATGTTAGCGCGGAAAGCTCATTTTCATGCTATGAAATACGGAAGAAATGGCCACTTTTCAGCCGTGTTTTAGTTGGGACGAAATGAAATTAGTCTTTTAAGCGCATGCGCTCATGTTTATGGGCATGCGCAGAAATCAGTTGTTCAATGACAATGTCTTTCTAACCTCTAAATCATTTACTCTTATTTCGCCAATTATTAATTTAATGACGAGCTTTTCGCACAAACATGACAAAAAATAGTATACGTACCTCTGTCTGAAAAGTAGATACTTCAGTCTACGTGTTTGCAACTCACACGTAGTCTGAAATATCCACTTTTCAGACCTCGATACGTAATGTACTATTTCATTCAAAATACATTAACGATTCTATATAGTTTTAAAAATTTTTTTAGAATTCTAGAAGTACTTAACCAAAACCTGTGGGAATTTTTAATACTTAATAAGTATTTGAACAACCTATATTAGTCTAACAATAAGCTAAGCTTGTTAATCCAAATCTACGTAGAAAGTAAAACGTTTAGATATTAAACCGGCCTTTATTAGATAGTGACGACCTCTATGTTCTTTAAAACGAACTTTCATAGCTCTACCATATTGTCCTATATAGAGAGTATCACAATTTTTACAAATAATATTAGGCTATTAGTTCAATCATTTACCTTTACCGTAAGGTAAGTGTTCCCGATCATTAGACTAAAAACAGTTTAATCTATGGTATATTTTAATTAAGATTATTCGACTCGTAATGTTTCCATAAATAATATGCTTTGTGCAACGCTTTAGAAGCGTGTGTTTCTGTTATTTGCAATTCTTATTACAATGCTTCCTAAAAATCAGCTCTATTAGAAAAGTTAAAAATTTCAAGTTTCAAAAGCAGTTTTTTTGTGTCTTGTTATTGTTTACTATGTTGTTTAAAGCTGTAAATAAGTTCAAGTCGATTTTCAATAAATCATGATTTCTCTTCTTTTTGATATACGTAAATACAGATTTAGAAATTTATTCATTTTTTGTGGTAATAATTGTTGTGTAGTTATTCCTCGGGTCTTCTGCTTCATTTCTATTCTTTAAGATGTCAACTTCAAGAAAGGAAAAGGTTAGTAGACATGATGTTAATTTAAGTCCAAACGTGCTTCTACTACTTTTGTAAATTGATAATAAACTGATATCATGATCTCGGCATATTCTTAATATTACAAAATATATTCAACAACGATTATGAAGACTAAAAATAATACTGATTTCCAACAAAAGCAAAATATACCTTAGACTTAATATTAAATTAATACGATAATAGGACTTGTAGCTCTTCGAGCATTGTCATAAAACATGAATGCGATGGTTTTTCAATAGGTCCTATTTTCAGGATAGGATATATCAAAGCCAACCAACCTTAAAAATAACGACAGGGCTTATTTTCGGGGTAGGTCATACTTTCGAGTAACCACGAAGTACTTACTCTGCATTCTAATTTGTATATTAATTATATTTCAAATAAGTCACACCTCTGGTCTAACTCAGAAATCGGACACTCATGTCATAGTAAATTTGTCTATCCATCTTGATATGAATTGTGATCAAACACAAAAATTTGTAATAATTAATCCCTTTTTAAATCACATTTCTCTTTATTCCTCTCTCTTTCTCCTGTACAACTAATTTTATGATGATACAAAATACACTCAAGAAATTTTACGNAAATGGCTTGGCGGTAAGAGATTTGCGGACAATGAAGAAGTAATCGAAGCTGTAAATGGTTATTTTGAGGAGCTTGACGAATCAGTCTATAGAGATGGCATTAATAGACTGGAACACCGCTATGAGAAATGTATCAGCCTTGGAGGAGATTATGTTGAGAAATAAAAAAAAAAAATTTTTAAAAACCTTGTTTTTCTTGGTCAGGCCGGAAACTTATCAATCCACCCTCGTATGACAGAAATTTGCACCATTTAAAACAATTATTGTGTCGGTAAATAGAAAAATTTGTGATTAGAAGAATTATTAAAAAATCATAAGTATTCATTGGATTAAAAGACCAACGCCAAGACTCGAAGTATTTGAGTAAGACCAATTCTAAGGCCGAATAAGCAATACCAAGACTGTCACAGTCTTGGTCTTAGTCTCATCGCTATTAATTACATAAGAAACTTATGTTTTATTGCAGCTATTTCGTTAATATGCATACATACATATCTGACTTGATTATTTATCGTAATGAGTGGCTACTTTAGTTAAATACGGGATACACAGGTATCCTCCGTCATCAAGTAAACAATGTGACGCTAATCAATCTATCGCAGCGTTGCCAGACCGTGGAAAATTCCATCAAAGCATGACAACTTCCAAGGATAGGTGCTACTATTAAAAAATTAATAAAACAGTGGATTTTATATAGGGGAAATCTCGATTATTAAAGAAGAAGACGGCAACAATACTTCATCTTTTCCAAGATGATCAGTATTTATCTATAAACTGTAGGCAGTTATTAACCTTAAAAGTAAAAAGGGCAACTTCGATTTCTCCCAATTTCAAATTCATTTGAAAATTATAATACCGAAGATTTTAGTAAAAGAATGAATGACTTACTTTTTGATCTTGGTTCTCTAGGTCCATCAACAGTAACTTTGATGGCTTTATTATATGTTGTTACTTGAGGTGGATTGGTTGAAATAGTAATGGTCAGTGAAAATGATTTCCCTGAAACAAAAGAAAAATCTGGTTTTAATTTCCTGAAATGTTTTCGTTAATGTTTCTAAACTTTTATACTTTTTATTAGAGATGGGCCGGGTACCCGCCCGGATTCTAAAAATAGTGCGGATCCGCCGGGGCCCGGATAATAACGCCCAGGTACCCGCCAGTTCCGAGTAATACTACTAAAGAAGAAACACTAGCAATAATAATTCAATAAGCATAACAAAAAAACTTATCTAATGAAAATTGGTAATTAGGACTGTATGGGGATAGGTCGTTTATCCTAATTTATATTATTTATTGATTACTTTACCAAATTATTTGTTATTTCGATATAGTTCTTGTGTTTACTATTTCTCATGAAAAATACCCCAGTATGACCGAATTGTTACAATTTCTATCGCTTGTTCGTATATCAGGCTTTGATTAACGATAACTTAACCTAATATTAGTATGATTTTGACACCTTGAAAACTTTTAGTATTTATAAACATTATAGGTCCATTTCAATTGTATTTTGATAAAGTANTTATTACAATGCTTCCTAAAAATCAGCTCTATTAGAAAAGTTAAAAATTTCAAGTTTCAAAAGCAGTTTTTTTGTGTCTTGTTATTGTTTACTATGTTGTTTAAAGCTGTAAATAAGTTCAAGTCGATTTTCAATAAATCATGATTTCTCTTCTTTTTGATATACGTAAATACAGATTTAGAAATTTATTCATTTTTTGTGGTAATAATTGTTGTGTAGTTATTCCTCGGGTCTTCTGCTTCATTTCTATTCTTTAAGATGTCAACTTCAAGAAAGGAAAAGGTTAGTAGACATGATGTTAATTTAAGTCCAAACGTGCTTCTACTACTTTTGTAAATTGATAATAAACTGATATCATGATCTCGGCATATTCTTAATATTACAAAATATATTCAACAACGATTATGAAGACTAAAAATAATACTGATTTCCAACAAAAGCAAAATATACCTTAGACTTAATATTAAATTAATACGATAATAGGACTTGTAGCTCTTCGAGCATTGTCATAAAACATGAATGCGATGGTTTTTCAATAGGTCCTATTTTCAGGATAGGATATATCAAAGCCAACCAACCTTAAAAATAACGACAGGGCTTATTTTCGGGGTAGGTCATACTTTCGAGTAACCACGAAGTACTTACTCTGCATTCTAATTTGTATATTAATTATATTTCAAATAAGTCACACCTCTGGTCTAACTCAGAAATCGGACACTCATGTCATAGTAAATTTGTCTATCCATCTTGATATGAATTGTGATCAAACACAAAAATTTGTAATAATTAATCCCTTTTTAAATCACATTTCTCTTTATTCCTCTCTCTTTCTCCTGTACAACTAATTTTATGATGATACAAAATACACTCAAGAAATTTTACGAATAAATATAATTATTACAATATATACGAGGGTGGATTGATAAGTTTCCGGCCTAACCAAGAGATGACGCCACTAGGCCTACCTTGAGGTGACATTCTATAGTACCATCCTTGGATAGCTTGTAGCTATAGTTTCAGCCCGATCTCCTTGCTAGTGTAGGTTTGACAGCACGCTGAACAAGACGCCTCTGTGGTTTTCGTAAAAATGGAAAAGCAGGAAAATCGT